CCTCCCCGCCCCTTTAGCCCCTTCCATCTTCCCCCACTGCAGTGCTCTGCTGATGGCTGCGGCCAGGGCTCGAACCCGACCCCGGCCCCAGCCCCGGCCTGGAGCGTGTCTCCTGCCCCCGCCCTCTGTGGTCCACCCGGCACCGCCCGGCTGCCGCGCCCCCTCTCCTCTGCTTTCTCCAACCATATGTTTGGGAGGGGGGGGGGGGCGACCGAGAATTGCTGCTAGGGATGACCGCGCACCGGCATCGAACCCAGGACTCCCCTGAAGCCTGACCCTGCGTGCCGCGTGCGTACAGACACAAAGGCCCCGCACCGGACGACCCGCACAGCGCGCCCAGCACTTGCACTACACCCCACACCGCGAACCTCGCATCTCACTTCGCGGACTCCACGCCTGACGCCGCGGGCCCGGTCTTGCATGCCACGTAACGCATGCCAAGTCAAATACACAACAGTATTGCGAGTTTGACCATCCGATTTGCCAGTAAAGCGCCATGGCCCCTAGGGTAGGCAAAAACTTAACGCTGCTGTTTGCTTGACATGACACACCATACGTTCAAGCGCACAAGTTGATTTGGACGTCGAACTGCATGCGCCCTACTAGTGCTGCGCCCGTTGCTGTCATACGTGGGACGTAATGGCACCAAGTTATTGTGTCAGCTGAGTGAAGCGACGCCCTCAGCTCACCTAAAAGCGGCATCCAGTCCAACCCCGCCCACTTCCTGCACCTTGCTCGCCCCTGGCCCCCTGGCCCCGCCCTCTGGGGTCCGCCCGGTTGCCGCCTCTCCTCCCCTCCGCTTCAGCGCCGTTCCGACCATCTGTTTGGGGGTGCGGCCGAGGCTCGAACCCGCCGGCCTAGGTGTGCTGCCACGAACGACCGCGCACCGGCATCGAACCCAGGACTCCCCTCGAGCCTGACCCTGTGTGCTATGTCGCCCCACTCCGCGGCCTCCGCGCCACGCACAGCGCGCCGTGCACCCATCGCCGCGGTTCACTCGCCCCACTCCGCGGCCTCCGTGCCACAGTGCGCCGTGCACCCATCGCCGCGG